CCCACCCATCCACCCTCCATCCTTCCACCTGCCCACCCTTCCTTCCACCCATCCACCCTCCATCCTTCCACCTGCCCACCCTTCCTTCCGCCCATCCTCCACCTCCATCCTTCCCTGCCCACCCTTCCTTCCACCCACCCTCCACCCATCCTTTCTTCTATCCTCAGTCCAGCTCTTTCCATCATCCATCTTCCTTCCTTCCATTGATCTATCCATCCATCATTATCTGCCTATTCATGAGTCTACCCACCCACTGCCTGCTCACTGATCCCACTGTCCACCCACTGTCCATCCACCCACTGCTCCATCGTCATCTGTCCATCTCTCCAACCCCTGTCCCGCTCACCCACCCATTACCTACTTCCTTCCATCTACACACTCATTCATCTGTTCACACAACAAGTGTGCACAGCTCACTCCTTCCCCCAGGCTCAGCCCCTGAAGGGCATCTCTGAGCATGATGACAGGGTCAGTCCACCCTAGGGATGCTACTGACCTCATGGTACAGCCATGCCTGGGTCACCTCCAAGAAGGGCATCATCCAACCCTGAGGCTTGGGGATCAGGCCACCCATGGCCCCAAGAGGGCAGCAAGAAAGACAGCTGCCCTGGTGGCCTGAGCAGGCAGGGCTTTTTTGGGGCACAGGTGCCACTTTCCCCAGGTAGAGGCCAGGCCGGGTGGAGGGGTGGAAGCGACAGGCCTCTCTACCCACAGGACATCCAGAAGAAGCGCCAGAACAAGGACCTCATGGAGCTGCAGGCCCTCATCGACAGCCACTTCGAAGCCCGGAAGAAAGAGGAGGAGGAGCTGATTGCCCTCAAAGAGAGGATCGTGAGTGTGGCCATGGGTGGAGGCCGCCGGGCACACTTGGAGGGTGCCGGTGGCAAGGCTGGACTGACCTGCCTCCTGGCCACAGGAGAAGCGCCGGGCGGAGAGGGCTGAGCAGCAGAGGATCCGGGCAGAGAAGGAGCGTGAGCGCCAGAACCGCCTGGCGGTGAGCGGGGTGTCCGGCCTCGGGCCTTTCCCCAGTGGTCAAGCTGTGGGGGCCAGCGGTCAGAGCCAGGAGTCAAAGCCCTGCCCCGCCGTAACACTGACCCTGAGATTCCTCCCGGCAACCTCTGCGTCCACAGGGTGGGGGGACAGTCTGCCCCTGCCCCTGAGGGTCCGGGGGTGTGGTCTCCACAGGAGGAGAAGGCCCGCAGGGAGGAGGAGGACGCCAAGAGGAGGGCCGAGGACGACCTGAAGAAGAAGAAGGCCCTGTCCTCCATGGGGGCCAACTACAGCAGCTACCTGGCCAAGGTAGGCGGGCGGGGCCAGGAGGGGCCTGGGGCCTGGCTGGTGCCCGGGCCCCTCCTGAGACCCCACGTCCCCTTCAGGCCGACCAGAAGAGAGGCAAGAAGCAGACGGCCCGGGAGATGAAGAAGAAGATCCTGGCCGAGAGACGCAAGCCCCTCAACATCGACCACCTCGGCGACGACAAGCTGAGGTGGGGGCCCGTCGGGGGGCCCAGGCGGCCTTGTCCCTTCCCGGGGCCTGAGGAGGGTGCAGGAGGGGAGGGAGCCGGCCCACCTGTGCCGTCCTTTCCCCCTCAGGGACAAGGCTAAGGAGCTCTGGGAAACCCTGTACCAACTCGAGACTGACAAGTTTGAGTTTGGGGAGAAGCTGAAACGCCAGAAATACGACGTGAGTCCAGGCACCGCCAGCCCGGGGCCGCTGGGTCCCACCCCTGCGCCCCGCGGGGACTGTTGCTTGAGGCCACCTTCTGGGGCAGCCACTTGGCCACCCGAGGCATCGGCCAGACCCCCCGGGTACATTGGCAACCCTGCCTGAGGGCCAGCATGAGTTTAGGCCACAGGGGCCCTGAGTTGTCCTCAGAGCAGGCCGAGGGGGTGGCACATGCACAGCTCTGGACGGTGGCTCCTGGGGCACCGGCTGCCTGGAGTTGTGTGGAGGGCTCGCGACCTTGAGCGACCTTCGCTCACAGACCCCGGCCCGAAGGCAAAGCTGGAGTCAGAGGCGGGCTGCCTGGGGTGGGGCATCGAAGGCCGGTGAGGCCCAGCTCTGGCCCACGCACAGAGGCCCAGGTGGCCCAGGGAGGGCTCCAGTCCTGGGTGACGAATGTGCCCTGGGACCTCACAGATACCTTGAGCTTCCCCCTCAAGGTGAGGTCACCCACCTGAACGCCCCTGCAGCACCCCTCGGGTGAAGGACACGTGCAGGGGTATCTCCCGGGACCGGCCCCGGCTCCCCGGGAACCCTGGGCCTCCACGTCCTCCCGGTGCCCGCCCTGAGTGGTTCCCAGGAGAAGCTGCATCCCTCACCCTCCAGGCTCCCCTGGGGCTGGCCCACACAGAGCCCGGCCAGCTCCCCTGTGTCCACCAGGCAGTCAGGTGTGCTGGCCTCCACACACACACTGCCCACAGCAGGGCCCAGGGGCTCAGAACCCCAAGAGCCATCTCCAGACTAGCCCAGCGCACGGCGGGGCCGTGAAGCCTCAGCCACCCACCCAGCCCTGTAACCATCTCGGTCTTTCTAGATCATGACCCTCCGGGCCAGAGTGGAGATGCTGGCCAAGTTGTGAGTAGCCAGAATCCGCTGCGGGCCCGGCTCGCGCGTGTGCAGTGCACGGTGCTCCTCTCGCATGGCAGAGGCCAGGTCACGGAGTCGGGCAGGCAGGCTGGCCCTCCGTGGCCTTGGTACTCTCCTTCCTGCCCCTGTCCCCTCCTGCCTCCAGACGTGGCCTTGAGGCTGGCCTGCTGCCCTTGTTGGCAGGAGAGGAGGGGCCTCTGCTTCCCAGGAGCTGGGGAACCAGGTGCCTTGGCCACCAAGCTGGGAGCAGGGGTGGGGCCAGGAGCAGGAGGGTCGGAGTCAGGGGCCGGGGGCTGGAAGGAGGGTCTGCGGGCCTCACCTGCACCCTGCCCCATGGCCTGCTGCAGTTGGAAGGTAAGTGGCCAGCTCTGCAGCTGCTGTGTGTGGTATCGCAGGCCAGTACAGGCCAGCGAGATGAGTCGGGTCAGCAACCCGAGGGCAAGGGACAGCGCCCTCCCCAAGGAGCCAGGAACAGGAGCCAGCACGGAGCCACCGCTCTGCTGCTGTGGCTGGGCCCCCGGGTCCCCCTCGCGGTAAGTCGCCTGTGTTGTTTGCAGATCACCACCCTCAGGAGCCGCATCGACCAGGCCCAGAAGCAGTGAGTAGCCTGGCCCACCTTGCTCTGCCCTGGGCACAGGGGCCACAGGGCCTGCTGCCACTGTCCATGCGGGCCTGGCGTTTTAGCCAGCCCCTGAGCAAGGGCCAGTAGTGGCCAGCCCTCAGCAGAGCAGTCACACAACTAACCGGCAGAGCCCCCGCCAGCATGTCCAGGTCCTGTGCCCTGGGGCCTGTGGACCCTCCTCACCTACTCACAGGAGGGGGTGCCAGAGGGGGTTTGCAAGTGATGCCCTCAGGTGCCCAGCACCGGCCAGCAAGCAGAGGGCTGCAGGAGGCCCCCAGCATGGGGAGGCTCTCAGGGGCCTTCAGATGGCCTTGCATGGCCAGCCTGGACACCCAGAGTGTCACCCTCCAAGGTGACCTGGGGTGGGGAGTTCAGAGGCTGACCTGGGGGGCGACACGGCCCCTCTGCAACCCTCGGTTCCTCAGAAAGTGCCCTTGGGCCATGGAATCGTGCCCCACGGGGTGCGGGGACCCAGGGCAACACTTCTCCCCGCCCCCCGGGCTGAGCTCTGGTGCCAGGGACATGCCACTGGGGGTCTGGTCACTGAGCCTGGCTGCAGGCTGTCCCTCCCCGAGAGCCTGGTGGAGCTCCTGCCTCCCAGGGCTTCCTCCCTCTTCCCAGAGGCCCTTCTGCTCCCAGAGACGGGCCCCCCTCCAGGGAGGGTCTCGGTTCTGTGGGCCAGGACTGTCATGGGTGTGCATGTGCACGTGTGTGTGTTCACGCGTGTGTGCTCAGGAATGGTCCTGTCGTGCCAGCCTCTGGGGCCGAAGCCCTCTGTCTTCCGCCTGCCTTGGCCCCACTCAGCACCTCCTGGCTCTTGGGTGCACAAAGGTCCTCAAACCCTCAGAAGAGGGGACAGGCTCCTGGGGATGGCCACACTTATCTGACACCCAGAGTGGCACAGACTGTGTGGGGAAGAGAGTAGTCATCTGCCAAGACAGTCTCCACCCACTGGGGTCTGTCTGCAGCAACCCCAGGCAGGGCAGGGAAGACAGAGGGTGGCCCTGCCCCGTGCCCACCCCTGCTAACCACACTAAGCCCTAAGCCCCAGGCCCCTGGCCAGGCCAGTACAGGTGAGTCAGTGCTGTGCAGAGGGGAAGAAGTGTGTGGGGGGGGTTGTGAGGCTTGGCCAGGACCTCGTCCTGTGGGAGGCCAGGGCTAGAGGTCCACACTGGGGAGGCCAGGGCTGCAAGCCAGGGAGGGGCTCTGCCTCTCAAGGCTGCCCTCCCGGCCGGGCTGATGCTCAGACTCAAGAACAACTTGCTTCCCATCTGCAGCAGCAAGAAGGCCGGGGCCACCGCCAAGGGCAAAGTCGGCGGGCGCTGGAAGTAAGGGGCCAGGAGGCCCCGCGGCGGAGACCCGGCCCTGCTCACTCCAGCACCATGGCCCAACACTCGTGCCCAGGCTGCTTCTGGGGTTCCGGGACGCCGCCGGGGGTGGAGGGCCCCACTGGAGCACCCCCTTGTCTCTCCCTCTGGGGTCTGTGAATAAAGCCAGCAGACCCCCCTCCAGCAGATGTGTTCTGTCGTTCATGGGGGGCCGGGGGTGAGAGAGCCTCCCAGCGGAGCGGCTCCCGAGAGTGTGGGCTCGGGGCTCCCCGTGGGCACCAGCTCCCGAGAGCGTGGGGCACATCATGCCCACTAACAGCAACCGTGGCCATGCTGGGTGCTGGGCCCAGAGCGCCTCCAGGACTCTGTCACTGACTCCTCTCACCAAGGGCTTGTCACCCCTAAGATGCCCCCTCTGTCCCCTATCCCAGGGCTTTCCATGTCATACACAGGCTGCGCCCCCAGAGAGCCCCCTTCACCTGGGCCTGTTCTGAAACCCATCTGAGTCAGAATAACTCTGCTTTAGGAGGGTCAGGTAGGGCAGCCAGCCAACTGGGAGGCTGCAGACGCCCCCGAGGGTGGGGTGAGACCCCAGCTCTTCTCTGCAGAGCTCAGCACATCAAGGCAAAAGAGGAATGCGGAGAGGCACGTTTCCAGCAAGAGAGCAAATATGGCAAACACACAGGGTTCCTCTATATTATAAGAGAACACAGTGCACAACTGTGCCATAAATTTGAAAGTCCTGACCAAATAGAATTATGGAAAATATAAATCACAGAAATTGGATCAAGACGCGGAGCCTCGGACAGCCAGGTATTCATGCAGGAAGGTATTTGTCCAGAAGGGCCTCTCCAGAGGGCTCCAGGGGCGGGTCTGTGGGCTGCAGCAGCACAGGGGCTGGACCCCAGGGACAGAGGAGCCCCTCAGCTCGAGCACACATGTGCACACCCAACACGTACAGCTACGTGACCCTCTGTGCGCACCAACACTCACACACACACAGAGCAACGTGGCCCCTCTGTGTGCACCAACACACACATGCAGACACACTC